ACCTAGTTCTTCCCCTACTGTGATATCTCTGATAATATTTTCTTTATTTGTTAATACTAGGTCTAATATATTGTCACCTCTAGTAGGTTCTGTAATTAGTTGTTTCAAAAATTGTCCTGTACTGCGTCTAGGAAGTCTTCAGATTCATAGTCGCCTACAATGTTGTCCCAGTCAATATTTCTGAAGTTGAAATCCCCCATAATGCATAGGTTGTTATATTTTGCTGCCCTACTCATTTCCTGCCATATGGGCTGAGCTGCTTCTTTGCCAAGACTTGGGGGCCTGTAAATCACTCCCATAATTAGTTTTTCTCTTCCTTCCGTGATTTCTACCCACACAGACTCGGTTCCTATTTCACCCTTTATTGAATTATTAGTACAACATTTTAATGTATCCTTGACGAAGAGTGCGACCCCTCCCCCCTTCCTACCTTCCCTGTCCTTGTGAAAAAGGTTGTACCCTTCTATGTGGTACTCTGATAAAAAATTTTTGCTCGCCAGATTCATCCAAGTTTCGGTGATTGCTATGACGTCTACATTCTCGGTACATACAACCGCTCTCAGCAAGTCTATTTTATTTCTAACGCTCCTACTGTTTGTATAGTATACATTTAAACCTGCTCTTCCCTGGTCCTGTTTTACCCCTTGTCCTGAGCAACTAATTTTACTTCCCAGGACCTGCTTGTTTTTTGACTCCCACTTTCCCCGACCCCTCTCTACTGGCGAAACCCCCCCTTCGGAGTGACAATTTCACGCTCCAGGGATGCAGACAACGTCTTTACCCCCCCACGAGACAAGTGTACTCCGTCGCGACAGTACAGGTAGTCGTTGCCATAGAATCGTTGCCAGTTATCAATGAATGCCCAACCATTGTTTGCACAATGTTTTTCCAGTCGGCAATTTATAGCAATTGCCCTGGACAGCCATTCACGACCAACGCCTCTTCTAGGCAAGACACCACATACTATCGGGATCCCTCCCCTATCTCTAATCTTCCCCAGCGCCTCCCTATACCTCTTGAAAAGTTCCTCACTCCTAACCTTATCTATGTCGTTTCCTCCCACACTAAGACACACTACTGGATTGGTACCCTCCCCAGACAAAACCCTGTCTAACCTCTCGGCTACATGCCCTATCCCAGTCCCAGGAAAACACACCCTAGTCCTACGTTTCCTATCTCTCGCACAAAAAACCCTATCCATAAACCTCACCTGGCTGTCACCAACTACCACGACCTTACCTGCCCCAAGAAATTAAACCTCCAAGTTCTCAAGAAGTTCTTTGAAACTAATGGGCTCGTGGGGGTCACCAAGGTGGAGCGACTGAAGCTCCATGGTGACATCAAGATCACCTTTGCCGAGAAGGGTATGCCCATACAGCTCGCGGAGATCCCAGACATCAACGGCATTCCATTTAAAATGATTGCCTACAAGTGGGACAACCTGAAGCTGGGAGTAATCTCCCACGCCGAAATTGCCCACGTGGACCAAGCAGAGCTGAGTGAGCTCCTCAAGGGGCAACTCCAAGTTGTGAAGAAGCTGTCCGACACCACTGCCCTCATCGGACACCATACAACCTTACCCAAGGAGGCTCAACTGGCGTGGGTAACTGTGCCAGTCAAGCCCTACTGCAGACCGAAACGCTGTTACAAATGCCAGCACTACGGACACTGTCAACAAGTGTGAGGCGCAGGAGGACACCTGCTCCCTGTGCGGCAGCCACGGACACCGCTTAACGGTCTGCCCCAACACAGTAAAAAAATGCGCTGCCTGTGGCGGCCCACACTCCTCCGCCGATCGGACCTGCCCGAAATGGAAGGAGGAATGCAGGATAGCCAAGGGGCGACTCGACAAGAAACTGAGCTACAAAGAGGCCCTCCTTGCTGTACGCTCCCAAGACAAGAAAAAAACAGCAGAAAAGAAAAACCAAGAAAAGAAAACACATGAAAAGAAAACTGCCACACAGAATCAAGAACACCACGAGGCCCGTGGAGCTGAAGCCCACGTGGTCAACCTCACCGTCTCCAACTTCTTCCACACCTATGAGGACTTCAGACACGAGGAAGACGAACAACAAGACCCAAACACGAACGAATGGACACTGCAAGAGAGCAAGAAGAGGAGGAGAGTTAGAAGAAAATCTACATCAAGCTAAGAAGAATACCAAGAAAGAAGACCAAGACATTTCCTCCACACAAGAAAACAACACACACAATCTAGCCGACCAAGCACTGAGAATCCAAGGCCCAACCCAACACGCACCTGACGCTTGACCTGACGCTAGTGTAGTGGAATTCTCCCCTACAAACGCTGTTTGTCGCTGCCTAGCCGACCCCACCAATTCCCCAGTGTATGCCTCGTGGTCTAGGTCAACCAGCGCCGCCATACACCACGGAGCGGGGGTCAACTGCTAAGCCACGCCTACCCCCGCTATTTAAGACCTGACCTCGTGGTGATCTGTCTCTCTTTCTACCTACACCAACCAGCCAGCAACACCTCCGCCTGCCTGGCGGTCCTCGCTCCTCCGCCTGCCTGGCGGTCCTCTCTCCCGCTGGCGAGCATGGCGACCCACAAGCTGTCCTTCTCTGAGCGTCCTCACCAACCAGCTCTCTCTACATCACGCTTGTAACCATGCTGCCTTCCCAGCACCAAGCTGCATTGTACATCCAATACAACATGTATATAGAGAGCACATTGTGAGTTTCCTTTCTCCATCCCATCCTGAGTGTGAACCAAACAATCTCATACCCCACAAATGGTGACTCCCGGAGATTCGCACTCACACAGGATGGAGGAGAAACTGATCACGCTCCCAGTCTTCAAGCAACATGGAAGACTGGCTTATCCACACAGAAGCAGCTCTCATCGGCTCTACAACTACTGTCTCTACACCGCAGGTTAGACACCCTAGAGCAGCACTGTTTCTCCTAGCAGACACCAGCTCCTTTCCTGCCCCCAAGCACCACGTCCTACCGACCCCAGCACACCCGTCCTGCCTCAGACGCCGACCCCGGCCCAGCAGTAACCCCTGCCGCCCCTGATGCGGCCTCTGTTCCTGAGTGCGGACACACACACCCCTCTTTTCTCCCCCAGGTACTCCCTGCTAATGTCCTGCACCCTGCTGCTGTCGTGGACCCAGCTGCTGTCACGAGCCCTCATCCGTTTCTGCTGACGCAGCCCCTGCTCCTGACCCAGGCCCACACACCCCAGCAGGCGCATCTGACGACTCGGTACCTGCCGTGAGGGAAGCACAAAATTCATCGCCTCCACACACCCTTATTCTCCCTCTCTACTCCCACAGATATTGTGTATCTAGACAGTTGTCCCCAGCGACCGGCTCATCCACGCCATCGCCGTTGTCTCACATGAGGCACGCACCGCCCGTTCTGCCTCACATGTGCTATGCAACTCTGCAGACAACAAGTCTCCTACACAGCCTGGAGGGAAGGGGGAGTATTGTAGTGGAATTCTCCCCTACAAACGCTGTTTGTCGCTGCCTAGCCGACCCCACCAATTCCCCAGTGTATGCCTCGTGGTCTAGGTCAACCAGCGCCGCCATACACCACGGAGCGGGGGTCAACTGCTAAGCCACGCCTACCCCCGCTATTTAAGACCTGACCTCGTGGTGATCTGTCTCTCTTTCTACCTACACCAACCAGCCAGCAACACCTCCGCCTGCCTGGCGGTCCTCGCTCCTCCGCCTGCCTGGCGGTCCTCCCTCCCGCTGGCGAGCATGGCGACCCACAAGCTGTCCTTCTCTGAGCGTCCTCACCAACCAGCTCTCTCTACATCACGCTTGTAACCATGCTGCCTTCCCAGCACCAAGCTGCATTGTACATCCAATACAACATGTATATAGAGAGCACATTGTGAGTTTCCTTTCTCCATCCAATCCTGAGTGTGAACCAAACATCCTGAACCCCACACTAGCCTGACTCTGTCCTGTCGCCTCCTGGCCGCGTCCGGGCGAGTTGCTGCTGCCTCCAACTTATACTCCCTCACGCAAGCGGTGTTTAGCCACTGCACCTATTCTCTCCTACTAAAATTCACTTCAATCCTCCCTTTATTCTTCCCCTGAACCTCCTTCCCCCCTGTCACTAGTATTTCATGTCATGTCATGTGACCGCTCGCTTCTTCTAGCTGCAGCCGCAGCAAGCAACACCGCCTCCTCCGCCGCTGCCTGGCGGCCTTCGCTCCCGCCGGCGAGCATGGCGACCCACAAGCTGTCCAACTCTGAGCACCCTCACCAACCAGCTCTCTCTACATCACGCTTGTAACCACGCTGCCACTTCCCAGCACCAAGCTGCATTGTACATGCAATACAACATGTATACAGAGAGCACATTGTGAGTTTCCTTTCTCCATCCCATCCTGAGTGTGAACCAAACATCACGTACCCCACAAGCTCTTTCAAGAACAGACTTGACCAACACTGGAGCAGGTTCAAGTACATTCAAGAGCCGGTGCATGCCCAGTACTTGCCAACAGTGCGTAACCGAGACGTGACCGATCGCTCAAGCGGCTAACGAGCCGTTCAGTGGTAAAGAGGATAAAAGTAAAAATAACTTCTGCTTGGGACAAAATAATCAAAGCACCTAGTTTACAAACGTTATATCAAATTATGCCTTGGCATAACATTATTATTCCCCAAAGGGTTTCGATGCGAAATTGACCATGAAGTAAAATTAGAAATAAAATATTAATTGATTCGTGGGAGAAAGACAGACGCTACTTCTAAATTTTTTATTTTGCTCATGCCAGACGATTTTATTCAGTCGAGACCCCCCCCCCCCCTCTGTCCCCGGCGCCATGTTATCCAATTGTAAACATGTATGATAATTTTACTGAATAAAAATTATCTACAGGGCGACCGCAATCTTCTTCATCAGCTGAGTAAAACATGGCACCCGCATTCACGGAGTTGACCAAATTCTACGTGTATAGTATGCGGGGCCTCAGTAAAGGTGGCACCATCGCCTGTGGTGTGGAGGTGCGGCACCACCGGATATGTTGTCGTCAGTCAGCTGACTGAGATTACGGTGAGAGGTTGAGGGTGTTGGAACTTTCATCGCCGTGCACTTGCTGCGTATTTATTTGTACATGTCAGTTTGCTTGGTTATTAAGGGCTTTCTTAGGGCATTTGATTGATTAAATGTGACAAAGAACTGGTGGGCATATGCTGACAGGGTCATTATAAGGCCCTCTATTTTGAGTGGCGCAGGAATTAATCCTGTGAAGCAGCCCTGGGTGTGTGGTGTCTTGTGGGAGGCGGCGGTGCCCGGCTATGGGCGGCGGCGCGGGTTGAAGCGGAGGTAAAGATGTGGAGTTTGAGGACAGTGGTTGAGAGCGCTGTGGAGCACGGAAGACGAGTCCTGCAGCACGTCCACCGCCGACAGGTGAATCTCGGGCAACATCCTCAACAACAGACCCGGGCCCCTGACGCTCGCCACAAACTGAGCAAGGTGAGCCAGGTTTTAAGTCTTTTATGCTCCTCTGGTGACTCCAAATATACTAAGGTTAATGAATCGTTTATCGCCCATTCCCCTCTTTTGATATGATAAATTGTTTTTCTGGAGTATTTGGGTGTGTTTTAGTCAAATATGACCTTCATTTCTTGTGCAAATGAGCATTTTTCTAGAAAACCTTCCAAACTTCCTACCTAAATCCGGACTCTCGGCCTTATTAAACAAAGTATTTTGGTATCTGGTATTACCGGATAAAGCAACTTTCTTGAAGTGTCATGGTGAGATTTTGCATTATTTGTGGACGTGAGAGTACGCTTGGACTGAGTGGGTTGGTTGTAAACAAACAGAGCATACGACAACACGCGCCGATCACGGCAGATTCCTTATGTTTGAGGGTAAATATATTAAAAACTAAGCATTTGCTCAAGAAACATTACTCCTTAATATTGATTCTTAATTTTAAAAAATTATATATTTAGGGTAGTCAGAAATGCGTGAAGAGGAATGGGTGAGAGACGAATATCCTGTACTGTATAGTACTTTACTGTCACTCGGATTCGAGTATGACGATCATCCAGCTGTGATAAAATGATATGTTATTAGGGATGTCACCTTCGATGGTGAGTTCTGAGGTGATTGAAGAGGCCGATACGGGACTGCCAGAGTTGTTCACAGATGTTGCACATGTGGAGGGCTACATCTACTGCGGGAGAGGCGGCGGCAGCGTCTTTCCGGTGTTGGTGCTTGTCTGCCTCGGTTTGCAGTCGGGCTAGCTCAAAAGTATTGACACCTCGCATGGTGCTCCTCCAAGCGTTATAGTGTGGAGTAATCGACTCCCAGGCACGGGGGTCGATTTGGAACTTTTTCAGGTTTGTCTTAAGACTATCCTTGCAATTTTTCAGTTGCCTGTCAACGTTCGTTTACTATTAGTTAGGTGACTGTACAGTAAAGTAGCTGCTTCGGCAGTCTACTGTTGTCCATGCTGGTAACATGGTCAGTCCAACATAGTTGTTCATGGATAATGGTAGCCTCAATACTCCTACAATTGGTGTCAGCGAAAATATTGGCATTTGTTCTCGACTTCCCAGCGAACTCGGAGGATGGAACATTTTCAAGTGCCTTGAGGTGCCTCCTGTATGTGACCAATGTCTCTCTGCCATATAGCAGGGCTGGGAGGACCATTGCTCGATATAAATGCAACTACAGTACAGTCAGTTCTGCTACAACGCAATAGTTGTGTTCTTGTAAAACCTCGCATTCTAGAAATTCGCGCAATAGAAATAACAGGGCTTATGGAGAAAATAGGGTTAGGTGCAGATTACTCGAAATTGAAAAAAAAATTAGTAGTTAGCCCAAACACAAAGGATAGCACAATCTAAATAAATGTTACATTCATATCTAATAATGAAATCATACAGTAAATGTAACACTTTACCTTGAAAAAATATGAATATAACTTGATGGGGGAGAAGGGTGATGTTGAGGTTGAGGAGTCACGCAGACAGGAGTTGAGAGCTGTCATCTCCTCAAGTTCCTTTGGCTGTGATCTCTTACTTTTGCGAGCATTCAAGGTTTTTCCAGCAATACAGCTTGCTTTAATCTTTCCTCCATTGTCTCTAATGGTGCTTAAAGTAGACTCCTTTATTCCCGTTGCACGCACAATATCACATGTTCTTTCCTTACGTTCAAAACGCTTGATAACATCAAGCTTTTCTTCAAGTGTTATAGCCTTTCTTTTACGATCACCACCGGGAATGCGATCACCAGAACGCTTCTTGGAGATATTCTTCTTTTCCATATTCACAGTTAATACCACAAAATTGGAGAAATATTAAGCAAAAATCACTGAGGTCAATTCAAAACAACCCACGTGTTTCAACTGATCGTGTGATGGAAACAGAGAGCGCGGGTGTAAAACACTATTTTTTTGTTCTCTTTTATTTAAAATTTTACAATTTACATATTTTTATACATAAAAAATATTACATAAATTATTTCTGCAATTCTTAATGTTTAATATTAACTGTAGTGATAATAAGGATAAGAATACAATGATCATGTAAAACACTATTAGTCTGCACTGCAAACATTATTTTTATTTATTTTTTTCAAACAATATTTATGGGAACAGCTAAATTTGCAAATAAAGGATAAAATTTATAGTCCCTATCAAATAACATCACAAACAAAACACATGAATCAATTGAACGTGTGATGTCGAACGTGAACTGTAAACAGTGCATAACCCATCACCAAGCGACAATAACTTAAAACGTTTGAGTGGAATCGCGTTACAGCCAACACACGTTCGCGTTTTATAAATATCGTTCTTCTATTCATCAATTGTGCTAAGCCAATTTGCGTTGACTGTATGTAGATAATTTCAGCTCCCTACAGTCGAAGACACGGGTACGGAGTCTGCCAAATGCTCAAGATGCATGTCTGATCCAATGTTGATTCTCTTCATCAATGTTTGCAGAGCTGAGATACTGAAAGTGGGTAACATTAGAGAGGGTAGTACCGTTAAGCTGGATGGATGGTGGAGGTGTGGCTGAACCAGGGGTAGGCTGAAATTGAATTCGAGTTTTATGCACATTCACCTCATGGCTGAAGTGTGCATAAACATCTGCATAGGTGTTCAGGATCTCCTGTAGGTTGCGTTCAGTGTGAGAGACAAGGGTGAGGTCGCCTGCATACTGAAGTTCAGTAATGGAAGCTGCGGACACCTTTGTTCCTGCCTGGAGTAGTCTTTATGTTAAAAAGACCCTTCATCCAGTACTCTACAGTATGTCCACCCTGCCAGCTAAATTGGCACTGGCATGAGTAAGGAAGGCAGTACACATCCTTGTTTTATCCCCATTTGAATGGGGAAGATCTCAGACTGGGTGCCATTGTGTAGGACTGCCGTTCATGCCATTGTGGAGTTGCCTCACAATGAATTTTGGTGGGCAGCCAAAACAGCTGAGGGTCCACCAGAGGGCTTCCCTGTTGACCAAATCAAAGGCTTTGGTTAGGTCGATGAAGGCCATGTGCAGTTCAGGACGCTATTCTCTGCACTTTTCCTGAATCTCGCTGGCAACAAAGATAATGTCAGTGGTGCCATGTGATGGTCTAAAACTACATGAGATTCTGGGAGGAAGTTTTCCACCTCGGGGAAAAGTCTGTTTAGGAGGACTCCGGCGATAATCTTGCCAGCTACGGACAGCAGCGAGATCCCATGGTAGTTGCCACAGTCTGACCGGTCTCCCTTGTTCTTATAAATATTGACGATGGAGACGTCTTCAAGAGCTTGGGGATTTCCTCCTTTTCCCATACATTCTCCAGGAGAGAGTAGAGATGGCTGGTAAGCAGAGGTCTTCCTGCTTTATACACCTCAGCTGAGATTCCATCAGGCCCTGAGGCTTTGTTATTTTTTCATCTGTACAGGTATATACAGGTACAGTATCATGAAATATACAATATACTTTATTATGAAATTAATCAAATTTGTGAGGATTTTTTCTAACAATCGAACGTTAAAATTGCATTGTAAGTAAAGAATATAATACTTAAGTGTTTAAAATTCAGGAATTAGAACAGTAAAAGAAAGTCAGACTAAAATCTAAAGGCACTAATAAAAATATATCATCTTGATCACTTTAAGAATTGCACCTTCACAGTTGAGAAAATGACCAAAGGGGCAGAGCCAAGTGATGTATGCATAGCTTAGGCAATCAGTATGCTGAACGATTTGCCGATGAGTGAATAATTTTCAGTTTTTATTCGGTGTCAGTGGCTCTTGTTGCAATTTAAAAAAATCACTGTTTTATGTCTATGCAGTGTTTCATACCAAAGGAAAACTTCGACAAAAGCTCTTGATTTTTTTTTTTGCAGAACCTTAAGGGAGTGGTTCTACATCTTCTTTTATGTACCCAGTCCTCTTCACTAGTGCATTTACAGGGGCTTGTTATATAAACATTCCACAAATCATTATCTCTGAGATATTTGTTTTAATATTGTTTTAATTAGATTCCATATTATGTTTACTATTGCTAATTTCCCTCTCTCGAATGTAAACAAATACAGGGCTGCTACACTGCACAAAACCTGTTGAGCCCCTGTAAACTCACTAGTGAAGGGGACTGTACCTTGACCTACCTAATTTCCTAACCAGACTGGACCCATGCCATATAAAGTTGTTTAGCCACATTAAGTTCCTAAGTTCCCCTGGACCCCCTAACAGCAAAAGGAACTTAACTTAATAGTGAGGTCCCGTGTTACACTGAAACAAATAATGTCGGTCGAATGTCACTTCCTTGCTGCATTTTGGACACTTGCACGCCCTTCCAAGAAATCCATGATCACATATAAAGTCTATAACACGGTCTTGATCCTCAGTAAGCACAGATGGTTTGTGATAACTTGGGGATTTTCCAGTAGATGACCCCACAATTGCATACATGAAGCAATCCGTGTCCTTATGGAAGAACAATAACAAAAGGAACATACAGTTGACTTTGAGTCGAATGCACTTCAAAATGAAAACATACGGTATCCAAACCCTTATTAGGGAATTCAATCTCGGGTATTATTTTACTTTTGGATAACTTGGGAATCTTGGGAATTTTCTCTTGACTATAGGTAGTTTTGACAGTTCCAAGACAATTTTCTTTTATGGTATTTCTGTCGCAAAATTATGTATAAGCGAGGTACTGTATTTAACATTTTAATATATACATATTAAAATGAACTATTGGTGGTTTTGTTTTTGTTTGAACCAATTACAGCTCCACATAGTGCATGGGTGGGAGTCACAGGTGAATTTGAATTACAGAGTTTATGATGAAACTACAGTTAAGTAGGTTAGGTTTTCTATTATAAAACACTAGATTATGAGATAGAGGGGAGTCTATCTCAGAAACTAGTGAAATATTTGAGAAGTTCAGTAAATAACAAATTCGGTTTGGTATACAGTACTGTACTCTATAGCGAATATCGATGTAGAGAGGTAATACAGTACAGTACTGTAATTACATTATTACTTGGGGAAAATCACGAAAATGGCAACATTTGTTTTCGTAACTTCAGATTTTTCATTCTTACATTGAATCATGGGAATTTTTTTTTTTTCATCACTTGATATTTTTGGTAAACTGAAACTTTGCCGATTGGGGATTAACTATACTGTATATGAGCTATTTGATAACAGTAACACTGAATGACAGACATCCCCATCGTTAAATTGTGGATACTTGTATGGTGATATTTTTAAGGAATGGGAGGAGTGTTTTTATCCATTCTTTCTTTGTAATTAATCTTTCTTGATACACAAGATATAGTATTCTACACAAAATACACTGACTTGTTTATTTGTGGTACACTACAGTAGTGATCTCTGGAGTATCAATAACTTTTCTCACTGACATTGGTTTGATACATATAGCCCATTAGAGAATACCTGTACAGTACAAGTACTGTATTTTGAGTAATTGCAAACTTATTAAACTTTAATTAAAATTTTCAGAGACATTTTTTTATTATACTATACAATTTGTGTTTTTTTCTTTCCAGTGGCAAAGTGAAGGGGGTCCTAGGGTGGACAGACATGTGACAGAATGTGGTGGTAGTGGTGGGCAGACAAGTACTGGTGTAGGCAGCAGCTCATCACTGGTTGCAAGTGGTGTGGTGAATCGCTTGCGCCCTGTGACCACCCGCTTGATTCAAGGCTTTGTTCGCAAGGTATCTGCACCTCTGTGGGCTGATGCGAAACGACGAACGACAAAACGCCTTGTTTTTGGAGAAACCGCCCCCTATTTTGCATTAGTAGGGGTGACTCTGGTGTCTGGGTCACAACAAGGATTAGTTACCAAGGAAGATGAACTGGAAGCTCTCTGTTGCAATATCAGGGTGAGTATGTCTGACTTACGAACATCTTCCGATACTAACGAGATCCCATAAAGTTAAACTTTAAATTCATTTATTCATTTATTTTTATTTTTTAATGGGGATTAGCCCACCCAGGCACACTAGACAACATGTGATGTGTCCTATATCTTCCCTGGGGTTAGTACCTCCCTGTTTGGTAGCTGTGTACTACCTTTATCTGATGACTTATTTATTACTTTCATTTACTGTATTCTGTCATTCTATTTCTTCTTTTCTCTTAAATTAAGTGAGTTTATATGTATATAAGGACTTAGTCTATGATATAGAGGGATTTTAAACATATTTCTGTAAGTATGGTATGCACAAAGGGTATGTGGTTCGACTTCAGAACGTCCATAGTAACGGAACCCTCACATAACCCGGGGACTGTATAAAAATAATTGAGTGCAGTATAGTATTAATGGCTCAGTGTATTCTGGATAAAGGTTTCAGGCCAATTTGAGTGTTGGGCAACTAAGATTTGACTTAAAATTTTTTCAGGAAGCCATCTTTAGAGCAGGATGGTTACACAATCCTGAATATTGGCAGCATCAAGGAAATTCAAGTGAGGGAAAGGATGAATCCTTTGAAGAGTTGGAAACAGAACATGCCTTCACCTTGGCTGACTTTGAACTGGGTTCAGTTATTGATAAGGGCTGCAATGCTGTAGTTTATGCAGCCAAATGGAAAACAGGTGTGTGTAGAATAATAACAACTAAATTTTTGGACATAGTCAGTATATGTGTGTGCATAATTTAACAAAAGGATACCATGTCATTTTTTTCTCCTTTCATAATTGAGCTTTTTCTCATTTTGTGTATATTTTTCATTTAGAATACATTGTTTCTCTTTGTAAGTCTTTCTCATAATATATTACTTTGATGTATCCAAACTATCCTTCATATTTAACACATCACAGATATGGTCTCTTTATTTCCCAGTCTTCCCATGTCCTGGCTCAACAGTACCAGCTATCTTATGTGAACCACTATTAACAAATTATCATAAGACAAGCAGATGTGTAATTTAATCTGAGTACCAAATTAGGGTCAGATGATGAAAAATAAAAGAACACGGTACACTGTAACTAGATTTTGCAATTGGTCTTATGTTTAGTCTTCTTTTCTTTTAAGGGAACAGAATATTTTCCTTGATAAATCACTTTTTCTTGTATCTATTACACTACCTAGAAATTATAGAAGTAGAGAGGATATTTACAATGTTTAATTTATTTAAGGTGAGCCTGAAGATGAGGATCTCAGTTCACAGCCTGTGAAGAGACAAAGGTCTGGGTCTCCGATAATACCAGTGGAGGAGCTAGAAGAAGTAATGCAAGAAGAGCAGGGTCAGCAATTTTTCATTAATGTCACTGACAGGCTACAGTCCATAAATCACCCCGATGACAACCAGACAATTACTGAAGATGATTTTTCTTTGAATGGGCTTGAAGAAATGGACACCCAAGGATTAAGTGAAACTTTGGATGTGGAAAATTTAATGTCAAGCAGTAATCGGGTACCACAGCATTACATTAAGAAAGTTAAGTTTAAGGTGGATGAGAAGCAGGGCAACAGCATGAAGAAAACATTAATTACTGATTCAGAGCAAGGAGCTGTGGCCAGAACACCTACTATACCAAATGAATCAGGTGAGAACCAAGTAATGAGGAGTAATAGTATTACACCCCAGAAATATGAATGTGCAGTAATGTGTACCATTATCATCATCAGGCTCTATCAGTCCAATGCAGGACAAGACCCTCCCCCTATATTTTTACAATCTGGTGTCATAACATTTACCAGACCGAATTGAGCACCTTTGTATGTCCGGGTTTCTGATACAGTTTCCATCTTTCAGGTGATCTTTCTCTGTGCCTATTTTTTTTTCTTCCCTTTTGGTACAGCATCAAGTTGAGGATTTCCAAAGTCCATTGTTGGTCTGTTTTACGTGCAAGTTGGTCTGCTCACTGCCGTTTCAATTCCTTACTCCTTTTAATACTACATCATACTTTAGTTTCATTTCTCTTCTTGTCCTTTTGGGTCATACCGACACGTAAAAAATATTGACCACTTGTGTTGGGGTGGAACAAAATGTTTTTTGGTTTTAAGCAGTTTTTCAATTACAGCTTCTCCCCGACTTACGACCTATTCGACTTACGTCCACCCGCACTTACGACCTGCCTCGGTCGTACCAAAATTTGGTCAAATTACGTATTTTTGAGTCCCAAAGTCAGTACACAGACAAAATTTTCATTTGTAATTCACTTTAAAATGGCTGGCAAGCTTAAAAGTGAGTGTTTTGTGGTGCTGAGAAGAAAAAGAGACACCCATTTTAGATTTTCTATGTATTATTTAAGCATTTCCGACTTACGACCATTTCGACTTACGACCTGGATGTCGGTCCCTAACCCCGTCGTAAGTCAGGGAGCAGCTGTACATAAATTTGGTAGCATATCTAATGTATTTAAAAAAAAAATTAATTTCTGTATACTGTAGTATGTTATGCAGTTTGGATGTGGTTGTCATGCTGCACTAAAGCAATACTGTACTGCATACAGTCTTCAGGTGTGTTGAGTGAGAAGAAAGTTTTGAATTTGAATTTGGTACAGTAGATAGGAAGGGGATAAAACTGTAGGTGCTTTTCTTTAATGCATTTTGTTTACCCCAAAACCTGAAAATGATGCCCACCAATTTCTGTTGGATTTTATCTTGGGCAGCCCTTTCTTTATTAAAAAAAAATTAAACAAATTAACTTTGGTCTGAAATGGACATTGTACCCATGGCATCATACAGTCAATGCTGGCTAGCTCTCAACATAGCCCCAAACTACCCAGGTCTCTGTGTGCTATTTCTTGGCACCCTGTGGCAGGTGGTGTGGGTACTCATGTGCAGTGTTGTGTCTCGCAATCATCCGTGAGTGCGTGGTCATGAACGAATGTGTTGTTTTATTGACACATGACCTTGAATATTGTTAAAATTAGTCCCTTTTTTATATTATTTTTCATACCTAATGTCTTCTAAATGTGTCAGTAGAGTTACTTACATGTGAGATAACCCTAAGCTTTCACAGACAATGTAGTACTGTACTGTAATTGTTTTCTCTGGGATCGTCCAGTGGGACATTCGTCAGAGAGCGCCTCTCATACCCAAGCTGTTGTGGAAGAGTGACTGTTTAGCTTAGCGGTCACACTTTGCCTCCTCGCAACCGTTTATGAATTCTCATGTAATATATTTTTTTTTATCTTGTTTATGTTTCTTTCTGATAAAAAACTATTTAATTATGCTCCTTAAAATTGTTCATGCTTTTATTTAATGAAAATTAACCATCATGTGATTATTAGGTTACAGCTACTTCTCGACTTACGACCTACTCAACTTACAACCACCCGGACATACGACCGCCCCAGTCGTACCAAAAATTTTTCAAATTACTGTATGTATTTTTGAGTCCCGACGTTAGTGATTGCGCTGTGTACTGACAAAATTTTTGTTTGTAATTCCCTTTAAAATGGCTGGCATGCTTAAAAGTGGGTGTTTTGTGGTGCTGAGAAGAAAAAAAGACACCCAATTCAAATTTTCCATGTATTATCTTCGCATTTTCGACTTACGGCCAATTCGACTTATTACCTGAATTTGGGTCCCTAACCCCGTCATAAGTCAAGGAGTGGCTGTATTTGGTCTCATGATCACATTCTTGCATCTCACAATGAGTAACATCATACAGTAACACAGATGCAGAACTGAACACAAACTGGGGAAAGAATTCAAATTGAGCAGCGCAATTTTTTCCTTTTCAAAACGTTAATAAATTAACCATAATTCCATAAGGGCGAACACAGTCCTGAACACGGACGCATAACTCAACAGAAGCTGAGGAAAGAATTCTAATTGAGCAGCACCGTTGTTGTGGTGGTTGCTGGCAACTGTGGAGGTGAGCGGCCTTCCAACCACCTTATGCCTACCACCGAGAATCCACACAAAATAATTTTTACAATTTTTGTAAAAATGGGGGTTAAAAGATTTTTTTTAATTTACAATAATTCCATAAGGGTGAGTTTTTTCCATTACCCAAAATTTTGGTCATAATTTAAAAATTCCGTAACTATATATAGCTGTGTAGCGAATATCAATATCATGAGATTAATTATAAATGCTTTGCATTTCAGAAATGGGTACTGAAGATTCTACTGATATACAAGAATACCCTTTAGCAGTGAAAATGATGTTCAACTATGAAGCAGAGTCTAATGCACCAGCCATCCTCAGAGCTATGTACAAGGAAATGCTTCCAGCAAGAAGTTTGCAGTTAGATGAAGCACAGCTTGAGTGGCAGGAACGGTAAATATCTTATATGAAATAAGCTGAATTCTTCTGGAGGCAAGTCTAAGAAGGAGATAGAAAGATATGGGCGAGAGAGGCATTTTAAGTGAGGGGAAGGACATCAAGATAACAGCACTGTGTGACTGACAAGAGAGTGACAACAACCGTGTTTTGGGGTATGGATTTGCTGGTGATGGGTGGTGGTAGATTGTGTGAAAGACAAGGATAAACCAGATTAAATATCTTGGGGACATTTCTGAAAGAGGGGCATCAAAACACAGCCATTTCTGCATTGAGAGTGAGTGAACAACTGAGTACTGTACAGTACGTATAGAGAAAGTTTGTTTGGTCTTGGTTCCTACCACCCAGCATCATGGTGGGAAAAGGCTAGCAAGAATAGAAGAAAAAGATTAAATGTGGATGGAATATACTTAATGGATTTGCTACCTTGATTCTCTTTCCCAAGTGGGCAGCTTTTATTATCAGAAACTGTAAAAAGGGACATAGTAGTAACTATTTTGGATAACTATAAAAGGATAAAAATATGCCAGCATACAAAATAGGACCAATGTTTATTAAAATTAAAAAAAAATTTCTATGGCCCACATCAGGCAGCCAAATTGTAATGTTCACTTCTATATCTCCAAACCTATGTTCCTACCCTTATCAACTCTTCAAAATTACAGTAAAATCCTCTTAATCCGGACTCCTTCATTTTTTTACGAAGGTTGGTTTACCTGTTACTCTCCATGTAACTGAGAATGAATATGGATTATACTGCTTAATATAAAGATGGAAAGGAAAATTATCTCAATGATTTGTATATGAATTTTTATTGTAAGTTCATAAATGTCATCTTATTTTTTCCAGATTTTGCAGTAAGCATATGAACTTACCCACACATCCAAACATTGTGGAGATGCCATGTGTGTTTGTTGACCGTGTTCCCTTTTTAGAAGACTCGATGCTACTCTATCCAGATGCACTCCCAATACGAATTAACCCAAGAGGCTATGGCAGAAACATGAGTTTATTTTGTGTTATGAAAAGGTAAGAATTACTGGGTATATCACATAAGTAGTAAGATTATTGGTTATACATATGCAGTAGAACGTCGATTTAACATGAGATACGTTCTAAGACAGGTCGCTTTAAATTGAATTCGCACTAAATCGAAGTGTTGTTTCAATGGGTTTTTAGGCAGGCTATGTTTAAGGCACCTTTTCTGGCCCCCTCCCCATGTGGGGTGACCAGAGTGGCTACCCGAAAGGGCTACTCAGTTGCACAGACAGAACCAGATTGCACTGCTGCCTAGATCCCAGTGTACAAACGACCATCTTATCTATGCCGCCCATGTGCAGAGTTGTGACTAGAAACTTCCGACAGTCATCTCTGCCTGTCCCTGTCGCCACTCGTCCGTCGCCATAGGACTTTCGGGGGTATAGGGGTTTTGATGATGATGAGACGTGTGATGAACTGGACAATGGCTGTGTGTGAGTTGATTTATGTGGTGAGGCAGGAGCGCAGACTGCAGCTACACATCTTGGGTCTCCCTTTTCCTGATCCAGAGGTGCAAGTGTTGCAACGACTGGGGAGAGGGAGAGTTGCAATGGACTGCCGATAGCCCAGCTTGTTTGGTTTCACCTTAGTAGCCTGTCCAGGCATTGCCTTCGTCCGCTGGTGTAGTTGTTGGGTTCCCATGGTGGTCACCTCTTCCGCCTACACCGCCGTTGGGGGCTTGTTGGAGCTCTGTAAGCATGTCTGCCTGATGCGGGGCTCCACCGCAGATTTTTCATTTTGGGTTTACTCCCGTAGCCTTATACCTACCAAGGTTAATCTGCAAAGCAACAGGGCAGTGGTTGGTAGACGCCAGAACGTGTCCTCATGCCAGTGGGCCTATGCGCCGTCCCTCTGGGGCCCACTGATACTCTGAGATCCCCTGCTGATCTAGCCTGGGTCCACAAGGCACCCAGCTACCGTGTGTTGCCACAAGGAGGCACAGCAGGAGTCTTGATGGTGAAGAGACTGTGTACTGGCAGGGGAAGACTTATGCAAGTTGCCACGAGGGCTGCCAGCGGTGGTAGCTGAAAGCAAGAGGGAGCAAGCAGCACTTGCACCTTAATACTAAATAATGCTGCCACTAGATGCATTTCACCACCCTGTGTGTGACTGAATGTACACACACACACACACACACACACACACATGTGTGTCTACATACACATATACTGTACAATACTACAGGTAAAATAAATAATTGTCCTAAGGGCAAACACATAAAGGGAATATACATTTCTTTGTACACAAGTAAAAATGTAACCCCTCCCCGATCTGCAAATGTTTTTCTCGGACTTGGCGATTCGCGGCCATTTTGAGAACCTAACCCCTGCGAATTTGAGGGGGGGGCTTGTACATTTGAGTACAGTACAGGTTTACCCTTAGGTCAATTTTTTCTTTTACTTTTTTCACAATATGTGTGTGCATGTAAATGAGTAAAAATAAATTAAGAAAGTTAGTATATCTACCCAAAAATACGAGTTGAAAAATGCACTACAGTACACTAAAGTACTAAAATTTTTATCTCCTGTGCAAAATATATGCTGTCTATATTCAAATTATCCGCTGTCTTGCAAGGATTCCAGCAATGCAAGTTATATTCTGCCGAGACACAACTGACGCCTCACACCTGCGTGGGTCAAACTTTGGCAACGTAGGGTAATGTTCGGCGTCACTCTATGTATGTCGTGCACACACACGAGGTACCTGTATTTCCATATGATGCGCCAGATTTGACTCGTATAAAATAGGAATGATTCACTTTAAATTGATAATGTGTCCTTAATTGTGGGTGTCAATTTCAATCGATAATTTTAAGTCGATTGGCGTTAAATCGACGTTCTACTGTATGATCTAGTGGCTAAAGTAGGAGACACTTGTTTTAATGGATGCAGGTTCTTGTTCTGTGTATTTTAGAATTATCCCGCTACATTGTTAAGATGTAATATGGTACAGAGTACTGAGATGATTAGAAATTTGATTGAAATGGCTGTTAATGACCAGATCAGTGTGTTATAATCTTTTTAATGTTCCTTGGTTGGTGCTTTTCTTTGTAGTCATAAGTATAGTAAGCAGTTACAAAATACAGTTGTGCAGTACAGTATACAGTATTACTTTCTTGGGGTTATTATTGCATTGGTCAACTCTCTTCCCAGTATATATTTAAATCTTATTTTGGGTAAGTTGGGTCATTTATTTTCTCATTGGGTGAACCACAGTCCTAGTGAAACACAGCTAATGGACACAAGTCTAATGGGTTTCAATGCTAATGGACACAAGGCTTCTGGAACCAGGAGGCAAGATCAGTGTCAGACTCTTTGCATATATAACTGCATGATAGATGCAACACCTACACTGCCTGGCTCCCCACCACTTCTGCCACACAGTACAGTAACAGCTGCATGCACATCGGGACTTATTGACTTTGTATAATGACAGAGTTCTCATTCTCAAGTCTTTGAATTATTTATAACTTGGATCCCACTGTACAGTATAATTATACCATTTGCTTTTATTACTATGAGTTCTGGCTGAGGAGAACTACTGGCAAGACTTTGGGTGGTGCCATCATGCAGGTGTAGCAAGTGGAACGTATGTAAAAATGTATAGGAGTGATTGTGTGGGCAAGTGAGAAGCCAGTTGATGTTGTGCACACCAGTTGCAAATTAATTTTGGCACATCCACACATCAAACTTCTGCTACCATTGTTTCCGTGATGCATCCGGCTTGGCATAGATTTTTAAATTTGCCAGAGCCAAAAAACAGACCTTGGCCATTCAACTTATACAATTGGAAGCCATATAAAGAGAGAACATGCAGACTGAGGGGTGAGTGTGCCATAGACATAGGAGTCGTGATAATTCGCGGGTTAGGTACTAGAAGACATTGTGAATTATCAAATTGCAAATTATAGTTTAATTAATTTAAATGGAAATGATTAGTTAGGTTCCAGAGGCCCAAAAAATATGCATAAAATGTTCCAAAACTGTTTTAATAAACACTAAATATCATACATAACACACAGAAAAATACAGTAACACATAGATATTGTAAAAAAAAAATATATAATTATTATATATATATATATATATATATATATATATATATATATATATATATATATATATATATATATATATATATATATATATATATATATTACTTACACAGCAGCGTCCCTTCTCATAATCATTCTCAGGGTGACACAATTACACCAGCATGGAGACAGGCTGGCTGGTCAGCTATTTTGCCTGTGATGTAAACAAACCACCAGGAATTTAATATGACACAGTAACTCATCTGGGGTTGAATGTGGGATTTTTTTCTCAGGAAAATTGATTACAGTATTTAAAAAAAAAATTACATCAGATCATATCACGGTAGTCACTCATCATTAATATTAACAAGCAAACTCCCTGTGATTGACCCTGGTAAAGGTTAGGCCACATGCTGCTTTAGTGATAAGTGCCCATACTACATCAATTACTCTGTGAGAGCATATGGAAACAAAATAACTTGAGAATCATCAATGTTGCCAGACCATGTAATGAGTAAAATTATATGAAGTTGTTTTGAAATATCAGGCTGCTCTGTGCACCTCATGTCTTGCCAAGTAACTCAAGAGTTGCCAAATAAATATGTTTTTAACAATACTGTACCTATCTTACTGGAATGATAACCATTATTTTTGTAGATTACCTCCCTGTGTAATACACCCTTCTGTCAATATAATTCAGGTTGTGTGGATCTGCTATACCTGTTCCTGGTGGAACCAAGAGGTGATGATTACACATTAATGTTGTTTATAATAAATGGTTTGCTAACAGTCTTGGTATGTTTTATGGCAACTTACTATATACCAACAGGAACCCGCAGAACATCCACAACCCCCCCCCCCAGCTCCCATCCCTCCTTGATCCACCCCCCTGACCCCTCCGACTCTCACCCTTAGCCCCTAGACCCATGCACCCCTGAGTGCCATATATGATATAGGTTGTTGTAAGGAACATTAAGATTAAGTATTATACTATATAGCTTGTTGCGACTGAGTCACTCATCAAGATTCTAGTTATGATACAGACATATTATGTTACTAAAAAATTTTACCTATGGGTAATAGAGGCCTGCTTTTTATCATGATGGTCCTCCCAACCCCCCCCCAAAAAAAATAATAACGACAGTGGCCCATTGAGCCCTGCAAATTGCCAGCATTTGCCTTATGTTCCAAAGTACATGCCCGTAAGGAAGTTGGAAATCTCCTTTACCGATTTTTATGAAACTTGACAACAACACCCTGTGGGATCCTTGACGTATTTGTAGTTGCTTTTTTCTGAGTAACCCAAAATTAAGACAATAATATTATAATGGCAATGTGGCATTGGGCACTCTCGGTTGCCAAAGCAGTTATCCAACCCCTATTTAGGGGTGTTTTGTTGGGTATAAAGAGACCAAATGCATAAATCCCATTCGTGTAATAATGTTATATGTGTAGACTTGCCACCAATGATTTTCATGCCCGACACACTCTCCCGACCCAACTTTATTCAGTAGTCTAGTAGTATATCTATGTTTGTCTTTGATAACCCCAAAATGTTCTACACTACGGAGGGTATACGCAAACACTTGTTATCTTGAAAATAGGTTCTTATTCTTGTACTGGAGGTATACAGAGGAATCAAATAGACAGTGGGCTTCCACACCATAAGGACTAGCGATCTCCACTCTCTGTTTCACTCCGCGCTGGCATGTACAGATGCCAGCATTCACAAGCTGAATACATAATATGTAAATATGATAATTCACATACATAACATGGTGCATAATAAATGGAAATATTACATAGGATTAATACATGTTCTGTAATACTTTACTATACATAATTAATAGAGTAATATAAGAATACACAGCTTAAGGTACTACTGTACTTCGTGTCCATATTATACAGTATATTTCACGAGTTGTTGTCCCGGTCTGTTACAGACAGACGAGAAACA